CGTTCGCCAATGCAACCGTGTGGTCCCAAACCGAAAGGCATGTAAGTGTAAGGCTTCAGTTGTTTTTTGTTTTGTGGCGCAAATCGTTCAGGATCGAATTTTTTCGGTTCGGGATAGATCTAAATGAGTTTTAATAGTAAATAAAGTAAGAGGATGTATGTAGATAGAATGTTCGTTAAAAAAGTATCTACTAAATGTATTAACTGCAATAAATACCTCAGGGTCCATATGCAGCCCATACACCGGTATGTAAACGGGCATGCCTTGTGGCATACGAAACTTGTGAAACGGCTCCAGCGAGTAGCCCTCCTCCGCAGTGCATTGGCGGTCGAGAAAAGGTAAAGGCGGATACAGACGCAACACCTCATCGATTATCATTTGCATATACGTCAGCGAATCTATAAATTCTTGCGTCACTTTGCCCGCCGTACGACGCAATCCATCAGCGATTTCAACGCGCACACGCTGCTGCAAATCAGGCCGTTTAGCTAACTCATACAGTGCAAAAGACATGGTCGCCGAGGAGGTCTCAAAACCAGCTGTGAAAAAAAGTGCCGCCTGTGCAACCAACAGGTCACCCTCAAACACGAGTCCATTTGTGGAAGGGGTTTCTTTTGTAGAGTTCTTGAACTCGATGAGTATATCGATTAGATCATTACGCTTTTGACCCGATAGCTCGCGTTGTTGCATTACATAGTTGATTGCAGAACGCAGAAACTCGGTGGATGTTGGGGGTACGACTTTGAATCGTAGATAGGGCACCAAGTGCGGCATGAAGAAGACTACCATGAATTCTAATGAACGACGTAAGCTAAACTTGAAAACTGCGCGACCATGGCGCCGGAATTCGCCATTGGGATTTTTGAAACAGTTCGCTTGGACGCCATAGGCGACAGTGGCTATGACATCTGTAGTGTAAAGAGCGCAAAGTTCTTTCATTTCTAGTGTGAAGGATTTCGTTTCGGCACATACAATGGGTTGTGTGAGTAGATATTTGTCGAGCTCGCGACCGACCTGTAGTGGCAAGAAAAAGAAAAAGAATTATAGTAGGTGGATTAGATTACGTCAGCGGTGTTAAAGAAGTGACTTTAATTCATTGCAGTCACATTCGTTGACTAAAGCAGGGATCACACGATTTGTCCATTTTCACCATTACAGAGTAGTTCTGTTTGGAAAGTTGTTACTGAGCTGAACTCATTCTCCATACAAATTTCTAGACAATACCGCTCTGACTGCAGACTGGAAAACTTAAGTTATTAGTCTTTCCTGTTATTCATGACTAATTAATTATTTTTCAGTCTTAGGTGAATAATGAAATTCTAAAGCAAACTCTGCTTGCACTTCCTTATAGAATTAGAATACTTGTTTAGAAAATAAGTAACTGCACGCAAAATTTAAATTAAACTTCAGTTGTATATAAAATATTTAGAAAATGTCAATAAATTCCAGAAATTTTCAAAGAAAAAAATTTTTATTTGTTATAAATCTTAGGGCCATTTACTCCTTTCTAGGTAATTCTAACTTCCAGGTAAAAATCGTTATCGACGTTATTGACACCCAGCATGGATCGATAAAACAGTCACTGTGTTTAACTGAAGGATATACCTGCAGTTACTGTTAAGTAGGCGTGGTGCAAATGGCCCATAAAGTCCTAAGCATGACAAAAATATAGTAAGGTAGAACCGCTGAGAGTCAATTTTAAAATTCTTGACGTTTCCAAACAATTTAATTTTTAAATTTACTCACAAACTCACACACACATTTTCATTTTCAATCTCAAGCAACAACAATTTCGAACAATTTCAATTTTTTATTTTCACTTTTATATGATTTTAAAATGTTGGCAAACTTCAAAAAAAAATCATGGCCGACAAATTGAGAGAACGGTTCTACCTTGCTATGTTTTTATCATGGTTCTAAGGGCTGTCTACTGCTCTCAATCGAATCGAAAGGAAATCATTTTCTATCAAAATTTCTTAAATCAGTTTGCAACTCTCAAGCAAAACCTGCTCTTCCAAGCAACAGAAATAATCTGCCTTGTCCTGAGCATGGCCCGAAAAAAATTCACCCGAAAATTTGTATCCCGTCTTATAGTAAATACATGGAAACCAAACGTGAAAAGTGAACCGTTTCGGGGTAAATGAAACTAAAGTTGAATTAGAAATATGTATTTCTTGTGATAACAACATATGAAAAAGTAACAAACTGCCTTAGAGCAGCCCGGCCGGAAATTCTCAAGACAAAGCCCTGATTCCGTCTTGACAAGATTTCCGTAACTGAGATTTTCTCGAAAAGGCCAAAATAGGTTCAATCACGGAAATCACTTCTACAGATGTTTAATATATTCAGGCGATTAGAGAATCAGGACCTGCGCTAGTATACAAAAATTAATCAGAGAACATCACTTCTGGCGATGAACAGATTCTCTCCACAACGGTTATCTCTCATAGCGCCTGAACTGAAAATACCCCGCAACATCTTTCTTTGGATAACCAGTTCAGGTACTAGATAGATTTTCGCTTGCACGTTTACGTTGGCAACACCAGGACAGTATCTGTCATGCGGCAAACTTAAAAGGGTATCCTTGATGGGCACAGGATAGGTTGTCATGAAGCAAGTTTATCTTCTTAGCGCCTGGACTGGCTCCGCAATAATAGTTTTGCTTTGAGATAATCAGTTTTGTTGTTGGAAAGATTTTCTTAACTGGGATACTTTTTAGCAGTGCTTGGGCTGGCTGTGTCCTACAAAATCCTACCTGGAGTAACCAATCCTGTTGCTGGCAAGTTTTTTCTGAAAAGGGTTTTATTTTTTGATACCGCCCTGACAAGCGTTGGTAAGTGATAGCCATAGAATAATAAACTATGTATTAGCACACTGGATATTTTCTCCGAAGCTTAACTTGCTGAGTTGCTGTCAGAAATTCTTACAAAAGATCTATGTCAGTTTTCGATAAGGTCAAGTCTTAGATTTTTTATTAGGGACTGTATGGGAATTCTGATTAGTAATTCGACAGCTCCAAAATCACTGGCCAATGGCTGCTTAGAGCGAACGTAACCTTTGTGTCTAGCGCCTCGATAGTTTTCCTTGTCGGGCGCTAGACGGACGAAAGCAAATCTCACCAGCGCATGTCCAAAATGGAGATATATTTCTGGCTGAGAAGTTTCAAAATGAAAAAATAACAATGTTCCTTGAAAATTACTTTAGTACGTGTCCATTAACTTTCAGCAACAGCAAATTTTCGAAATTGTTGTCAGAAAGCTTTCTACGGCGTGAGGTATTTAGCAATGAAGCAAATGAAAAAATTCTTTCTACATGTAGTTACATTAAAACATCTATTGATACAGTATGTTATATGGATTTCGATACAACAGTTCGTTTTTTAACCCATACTTTGAAACTTAAGAGATAGGAATTGGGTGTATTTCTCCTTCATTTCTGCTTTTTGCAAATATATTATATAAACATTAGGGTGCCACACAAAAAAAGTTGTAGTTTTTCCGTCGGAATGATAAAATATATTATATTTTGGACTACCGTCGAAATATTTATGGAAAATGCTAAGATTTATGTGAGGCTACCCAATTTCAAATACCCCTAAAAGTCCAATATTTTTCATTCCGTTGATAAAATTTTTATGGAGACCTTTTAAGCTTAAACTCTTCTATCATCTAAGTGCTTTATTAGAAAAAATATTTTTAAAATCTAATTTATTTATAAAAAGCTAATTATTTGTAGGTACATTTTTTCAAATCAGTCGCGCTCACATGACTCTCACTATATTTCCGAAATTATCTGGCGATTGTCTTAAAATATAAAAAATTGTGTAATACCGATGGAAAAATAGTGCAGATTTTTTTATGGAGAGTGATGCACCCTAATTTACATAAAAGTAACACAGTAGCTTTAACCTGAAAACCTATGTATATGAAAACGGGCATAAGGATTTGCACTCACCTCTTCCACTAGAGGAAGCATGTGCTTTAGTTTCCCGCTAGAAAAGAATGGTGACAACTTGAAGCGCACTTCCTTCCACGCGGGATTGCGTAGAAAAAATATATTCAACGAACCCAGAGGATCCCCTTTGCAATCTGAATTGGAAAATCTAAAGCAGCCAAATATCAATACTTTCCATTGGCATTAAAGATCAATCTCACCTATCACAGAACTTTGAAAAGTCCTTCACCAAACATCGTTTTACCAGTTCTGGGTCCCGCAGTAAAATACCAGGCTGATTGAAGACATGTATGCCCACGAAAGGCTGCTGCCTCGCATCTGGATGATCGTAAAGGCTCTGCACAAACTCCGCTGGACTGCGTTGCATCGAAAATAAGCCACCTAAAATGCCCAGACCATATGTGGGACGCAGTTGCGGAACCTGTTGACGTTTCCAGTATTCATAGTGATAACGCAAGCAAGTGAAAAGTAAGCCACAAAGTAAAAGCAAGAGCAGCAGGCTTTCCAACCACATTGCGTAGGTGGCGGCGGCGCACAAAGAACTGAAACTTTAGGTGCTTGAAGTTAGTCGATTTATTTATTATATTGCAAGCAACAATACACATACCTACCCTGCAGTGAAAATCCATACCAGCACGTAAAAATACCAGTTCAATAACTAGTATGAGCTCAAGCGATCAGCGACATCTGCCTTTGAATTGTCTAAGCCAAAAATAAAATGTAACCACATAATTGCTTTTCTTACAAATATCGGCTGTAGCGCCCTGTGAAGACTACCGGTTCTGACAACGCAGGTTCGAACACGATAATATGATGTGGATAAGATTTTTCAAATTAATTCAATGAGGTTTAATACAATTATTAAATATTTGTGCCATCAAAATTAGATGACATTCAAAAAATATTTGTCCTAAAAATTTTTTTTATTATAATAAAAACTTCAATTAAAACAAAACTAAAATAACGAAAAAAAATTTTTTTCTAATAGCGGTCGCCACTTGGCAGGCAATGTCAAACCTCCGAGTCTATTTCTGCGTTGAGAAATAGCTTCTCTTAAAAATACATTTGATGTTCGGAGTCGGCGCAAAACTGTAGGTCCCTTCCCTTTGTGAGACAACATCAAGACGCACGCCATAAATCGGAGAAGCTCGGCCAAATACTAACATGCATATGTGTAAGCGCCAATCTATAATTACTATTAAAACAAAAATACATAAAAAATGAGAACAAAACTTACCCTACACGAGAACTTTACCTCGGGCCTCAGGAATGGCTCGCTAGTGCTTTGCTCTGCCGGCCACTGCGATTGTGAGAGCGGCGCGAGCAAGATGACATACTTTCACGGGGGATGAATTGGCAGACTATCCCGTGAATTGGTATGATGATATTAGTATTTCTACTGGTAGGTGCTGATGCATAGCCAGAAAAATTACAGTTCGTAGGATATCTTAAAAATACCAGTTGCTATATTGAAAAAGGATAGAACGTGAACTGAAACGCAAACTGCTAGCATTCTAGTTCAGAACTAGTAGCTTTACCTGCAGGGTATGTACATGCATAGATATAGCCACATACATTTGCATATTTATTTGACCTCGCTTTGTGGGAATGGATGACGTTTTCTGGAAGCGCTAAATATATATATGTAAATGTAGTTTTTGAATTGTATGGAATAAGAAAAAGCGAGTTTTGTAAGGCAGTTATGCGCATACATAAATATCGCTCATTGGTTGGAAGAATATCATAACTAAAAAAAAAACAAAGAAATGAGAGGGGAATGGCTTCAAAGTCTTGAGATAGGTTTGAGGCCTGAGAAAAAAAATTTAATCGAAAAACTATCCAGAGCACAAAGCTATTATCAAACCCTTAATTTGGCTTCTTACTTTGATCAAAGGGTGTGGCTAAGCCAGTGGCGGACCCAGGTAGGGGAAATTGGGGAAATCGAAATTCGAATTTGTATTATTTTACACAGCTGAAACCCTGTAGGGAAAACACGAACTAGTGAACCAGATTTCTAGTTCAGTACTAGTTCTTTATTGCCAAAAACGAACCAGTCCGAAAGTAACTAGTTCCGCCCCAGTCCAAAAGCAGTGAAATGTGGTACTTTCACTAAACTATTCTATTTTCAATTTTAAAAGCAGGGAAGGTAATCATTATGAGTAAAATAATTTAAATCAGCATTTAATCATTATTTTATGAATTATTATTGAGTTTTATTTTTTCGTTCAAATGGAAATAATTATTATTTTTGGGATTACAAATAATGATTATTTTATGATTTTTATCTTTTCGCGCAGAGATTATCATTAATTTTCAGTTTTATTTCTCCACTTAAAAATAATGATAATTTATAAAATTGAAAAGGCCATAAAGACGCAGCCTACTGAAATTTTTACCTGAAAAGTTTGGGTCTTATTCCTTTTATAAGGGTGCGGCTACCTCTCAAACGGATACGTCGGTTATCACGCTGGTATAGTTTTTGAGTTGCTTAATAATCATTATACTTAGTGATTCCATAAACAAAGGCCAAGATCCTGAAGGACGATTGAGAAAGGCAATGCAGTTGCAGAAAAAGAGGCATTTAAAAAAAAGTGTCAAAATAATTACCACTTTCTCACTAAATTTATTTAAAAATGCAAGCCACCAGAGCTACCTTTTTTTTAAGAAAAGACAAATTAAGTTTTTTTATGCAATCCACCACAGCTACCTTAATACAGTCAGTCAATAAAGTTTAGGTACAACGAATTTTTTACAATACGGGCAACTATTTTTTTAATATTTTAGTTTTCGGTAATTTTTTATAAAAATATGGTCAATTCTACAACAAAATCCCCAAAAATCAGAGTTCCAAACCTTGTGCAAAATTTAAGAAAATTCTGCAAAATTTCATTAAAATAATTCACTTTCTATTTACGCTCTCTAGAAAAAGTTTTTTAGTCCATCCAATTTTAGAATAATGAAGTGCAAGTGTGAGGAAGCTAGGACTTACCAAACAACAAAAAAAAATTGCTAAATATCAATGGTAAGTCCTAGCTACCTCAAACTTGCACTTTGTTATACTAAAATTGAATGGGCTAATAACTGAGTATTTAACTTTTTTCTAAAGAGTGTAAATTGCAATACTTGGATGGAAATCCGCAGTTTTCTATAATTTTGCATAAGGTTTGGAACTCTGATTTTTGGGGTTTTTGGTGTAGAATTAACCATATTTTTATAAAAAATTAGGGGAAAATAAAATATTTAAAAAATAGTTGCCGGTATTGTAAAAACTTCACTGTACCTAAACTTTATTGACTGACTGTATATCTTATTTAAGTTAAGTACGACAAAATCTTTCGAAGTACTTCATATACATATAAGTTTAAAAAAAAACTCAATTTACTTAAAAATCAATATGCTTAAATTTAGACAAGTAAGACAAAGTGAACTAATATGTTTACTTTTAAGCAGAACGCACTTTGGTTTTTTAATTACTACTTAAGTTTAATACTACTACTACTACTAATGAGGTTTATAAATTTTTAATAAATGCGTTTAAACATTTGTGATTGTATTGTCCTTCCTTCAACCGATCGTATTTAATATAGAAAGGAAATGTTTCGACAAGCCTGATTAGAAATGTAGATCTAAGGTGACGAATTTATAACAGGTTGGGAAGTATAAAAAATGGATGCAGATCGAACTAGATCTCATCTGTCGAATTAGGAACTGGTTTGGAACTAAAGAAAAGGAGATGCAAAACGAACTAGATCTCATCTCTCGAATTTGGAACTGGTTTGGAACTAGACCCAAAGGGATGCAACGGGGACAATTGACACTTCCTAGGACATCGAAATGTTAAATTCGCCAGTCGTTAGCATGCAAAAGAGAATTAACGCGTACTAGTCATGGTTCCAAACGCACTAGAACCGAACCAGTTCCGCACTAGTTCGTTTCCCTACAGGGAAGTCACAGCAAGTTTGAATCTTTTCATAGGTTCAGAAAACAACGAAAATTCCAAAATTTTGAGTTTTATAATATTATTAAATTTCTTGAGATTTCTTATTTTTAGGATAATTTCCAAAATTTCAAAAACTATCGAAATACGGAAGATTCTAGGAATTTTGGTAAAATATTTTCCACAATTTTGAGAATTTTATTTATCCTAAAATCCATCATAAATGTAAAAATGTGAAACATCACCAATAGTCGAAAAATTCTTGTGTGTAAAAAAAAGAAAATTCTTAGAATTCTAAAAGATATTAAAATTTTTGAAAAATTCCAAAATTGTTCCACTTTTCTGAAGTTTTCCAAAATTTTGTATTGATATAACAAAGTTTGAGAATTTTAAATTTTTTGAAAATTTTGAAAACGTCAACGGCCAAAAATTTTTTGAATCTTCATTACGAAAATTTTTAAAATTTTCAAAAACGACGAAATATGAAAATGTTTTCAGCATTCGAAAACTTTTATTTTCGTTTGATCAATTTTGCATATTCGACACTTTTACTTAGAAAAAATTTGTTAGAATTCCTACAATTCTCAAAATTTTTTAAAAATAAAAAAATTCTAGAAATCTAGTATTCATCGTTATATTGAATTATTTGGATTTACTAAAATTTCTAATATTCACAAAGTTTTGAATGTTTAGAATGTTGTTAAAAAGGAGAAACTTCAAGAAATTAAAAACTATCAAAACTACAAAAATTTTAAATTGCGGTGATTTTTAAATTCATATACACGATATATGTATGTTGAAAAATTTCGCCCCCCCAAGAATTGCTGCTGGGTCCGCCCCTGTGCTAAGCAATGTGGGAAATAGTAAAAATGCAAGCAAGGCTTTCTCCTTTCTCATGAAGAACTTTTACACGACATCAATGGAAGTGTAACAGTATCCATATAGTAAAAAATAAAAATAAAAAATGGATTATTACGTTCTTTCAGCGAAGTAGCTTTAGCTGCAGTACGTTCATACGTATTTGCATACATTTGTTCAAATATTTGCATACATTTAAGATGTAAGCAAAATGATACTATTGTTTGTGATTTTTCTTGCATTGAATAATTTATAAAGTATATTTATGTATGTATGTATGCATTCTTGTATATGTATTAGAGCTCTCGATTTTGTTCGCACATTTTCAAATAGCCCGGGTACCCTCCCTGCAAACCATTTTTTCAGAGTATTCTGAATTGTAGAGAAATTTGAAAGAATTCGTAAAGATCTCATCCGATTTTTTGCCGAATTTTCTAAAATGAAATAAACTGTGCACACTTCGATTCCTTTACGAAATTTCGGAAGAAAATCGGTAAAGCAATGAAAATAATGCTGCTATGTGAAGAATTTCTTGCAGAATTTTTTCAGAATTTTCTTTATTTTTCATACAGAAATTTCTTTACGAGTTCGTGTCAACCACCCTGCAGCCCTGCAAACCAAAGTTTCCGAAATCTTAACGAAATCTTTAGGAGTATCTGATTTCTGTAACGATTTTTTTCCGAATCTTCAAAGAAAATTATATGAAGTGGTTGACACGAACTCGTAAAGAAATTTCTGTACGAAA